GCATGAACACACAGGATGACTTTGTCAGGGACCAGTGGCACTTAAAGGAAGATTGCAGTCAAGGGTCTGGCTAAAGGTTTAAAGGAGACTTTCGCTCTTGTCATTCATTCTGCTCTGTCCCATTGTGGACGGATGGAGTGCAGAGGGAAGTGGAAGGGTGGAGGATTCCCATTTCTCACTGTAAGTTGTACACAGCCGCTGAATTAAAACCAGTTCATTTCTATCAGAGCTCTGCCAAGGTTGGAAAGTTGCATAGACCAACAACACAATGAGGCAGCCATTGCTGCTTCCTGAAAGTAACATGAGATAGTAGAGCACTGAGCTATCGTAAGAAGACTAAAATCTCTGCAGAGACAGATTTTGCTCATTTAGTCCTTGTACAATATCTGTTCAGAGCCTGCTTATAGACACGGAGTGGCGACTTATGCAAGGCACTATACTAGACACAAGAGAACGGTGGAGGATTCTTAAAAAGTTCCCGGGACATGCAAGTTTTGAGAGCAACTCTCTATCAGTCAGGATTCTAGAAGGAAATAGACTATAGTCCCAAAGGGAGTACAAGAGAGATAATTGAGATACTACTTACAAAAGATAGGGGCATTGGGATACCTTGAATCTAGCAGCAGTAGGTAGCTGCTTCCTGTTCTACCCTTAGATGGAAGTCTGTGAGAGCCGAGTTCTAGAGCAGAGTGTGGTGGGCGTCACTGTACCGTGGCCAACATAAGGGACCTCTCTTTCTTCCTGCCCTCTGGACTCTGTCTCTATAACTACTTTCCTTAGGCTGAAGGCATCCAGAGTCAGTAGTCCAAAGGGACCACAGACACCATCCCTGCAGAGCAGCCTTGCAGGAATGAGAATGGTCAGGACAGTCAGGAACTTACACAAAAGCAGATATCTCTCCTATGTGTCTTTAAAAAAATATAGCAAATGTTGACTTTTTTGTAATTTGGTAAGCTGCCATGGAATTGCAATCTTGCTTTTTCCTTGCTAGGATGAGTACATTGTTAAAGGTACGTTAATTTGTACTCCAAATTCTAACTCCAAATTCAAATAATTCAAATACATAAAATTTATTTCTATAGTGACGGCCTGGCAAAAGTATTCTTGCTCCTCAAAAAGATATAATAATGTTTCCTGAAGCATGTTATCTTTCTATCTATAAGTTTTCTTATATTTCCATCCATATATGCTACAATTTTCACATGTTAAATTCTGATTTATCATCTATATAATGATATATTTCATCTATATAAATGATATTAGGTAATACAATTAATGAGTTATTCCTTTTATCAGTCACCTATCGTCTGTTGATCATCTATCTGTCTTTTATTTACCTTATCTATCATGCCTCTATTATCTATGTGTCTATCTATTATGTGTCTACCTATCTATTATCTCATTTATCTATGACCTATTTATCTTTCATATATCATGGTTCTGTGTGTTCCTTTATATTTTGACCACTGTGTTGTTCTGCACTATCTCCATTAAACAAATTCTTCTCATCATGTAGCATCAAGATTCCAACTGTAACCCTTATCTCGCTCCTACTGTTAGCGTTTATATAGCCCTTTAATACTCTTCTGTGTTAACATTTCCATAGACTTTGACTGATTTAGTATAAACAAGTCCTCTACCCTGCATTTAGGCCTAAATGTAATTGATGTTTTAACTTAGGAATATGAGCTTTTTGTTTGTTTCTAGAAAGCCCTGTAGGACTATCAGGTAGATGAAAACTCCACGATGCAAGATCTTTACTTGCTTAATTTTGTTCAGCTTTAAGCTGCCTTACAATCAAACCATAAGCATCTGCCTGCTGCTGTTTGGTCTGCATGAGAGGAACATAGTATTTATTTATTTATATTTATTTATTCATTCATTCATTCATTGCTGAAGACAGAGAGAATTCTTTTTTTAATTAATTAATTTATTTATTAAAATTTCCACCTCCTCCCATTTTCCTTCCACTCCCCCCCCCCCCCCTCTTTCTTCTCCAGTCCTAAGACCAGTCAGGGTTTCCTGCCCTGTGGGAAGTCCAAGGTCCTCCCCCCTCCATCCAGGTCTAGGAAGGTGAGCATCCAAACAGACTAGGCTCCCACAAAGCAAGTCCATACAGTAGAATCAAAGCCCAGTGCCATTGTCTTTGGCTTCTCAGTCAGCCCTCATTGTCAGCCACATTCAGAGTCCAGTTTGATCACATGCTCCATCAGTCCCAGTCCAGCTGGCCTTGATGAGCTCCCATTAGATCAGTCCCACTGTCTCCATGGGTGGATGCACCCAGAGAGAATTCTTTTTCGCACCATATTGAATCAAACACCCAAGTGTCCGTAAGGTGTCTCTTGCACACCTACATAGGCAAAGCTTGCATGCCTAAGTGTCTGTGTCTCTTGCTCACCTACAAAGGCAAAGCTTCTCTCTCCCCCCACTTTCTATCTGCAGCATAAATTTCACTGCCAGTTCCCACATAATATAGTCAAATTATGTGTTAGGAATTCAACCCCGGTTTCCTGGGTGACTGTACAATTCCACTACTTAGTATTCCTCCGCACGGAGCTGCGGTCCTATCATGCTTTTAATCTATGTGCATCTTCGCGGTGGAGAAGCCCAATTTTCACATCAAGCATATATTAAAAGATGAAATCTATAGAGTGAGCAATAGACAGGAGTTCTTGAGCTCAGCAACAGTACAAAGCATTTTGAGCCACGATCTCATGATGGACACTTCCTGGGCTCTTTTTTTTTTTTTTTTTTTTTTAAGCACATTTGCTTCAGGTTAAGTTCTGCATACTCAGAATTCTTTACATTCTCATATGGTCTGTTGTGGGACTGGACTTTATATTCTTGCTATGTTCAGTAGTCTTCATAAGCCCTGACTGGTTTTCCACTAGAGCTTGGAGCGTGATGTAGCCCTTTAAATGTTGGTGATATTGAAGTTCTGTGTTACTTCCAGTGACCTTCCTAGATTAATGCCATGGAACAAACAGATGGCCTGATGTGACATAGCCAGGAGGTCCCACTCTTTCCAAGTATTGTTTACTGAGGTTACCTATGACAGTTATTTCTTGTGTGATTTCCATGCGAGGAGCTGAAACTGTGGTGAAGATTGAGATTAAGTTTTCATCTCTTAAGTGTACGTTTCCTCCTGTGCCTTGGTTTGTATTAGACCATTTTTTTTTTGGAAAGTACTAAGGAGTCATATTCTTTAGATTTTGAATGTTGTGTGGTTTTGCTATTTTACTCAGGCCAAATAATTATTCTGACTTTTTTTTCTATCATTAGGCAAAAAGGCATGAGATGATCCCTCTCTTCATCTCTCTTCTCCCCCACTTTCTGTCTCTGTCTCTCTTTCTCTGACACCACCAATCTTCCTCCCCATTCCCAAAACATGATAATAATGTTTTATACCTTATAAGAATAGCATGAAATATTTTGTGGGAAAGTGCTTTTTTGAATTGTAAAGTCTCATACAGATATGTATCAATGTAATTAATATTTTGAGACAAGGCTTTACCTTGTAAGGCTGCTCTAGAACCTCCTGCCCCAGCCACTGGGTACTAGAATTACAGGCATGCACAGCATATCTGGTTGTGGAATGTTTTCATATTCCTCATGAGCATTGGTTACCTGGAGTGTAACTGTTACCTCCTATTCTTTTTTTTTTTTCCCATTCTTTCTTTCTTTATTTATTAAATATTTCTGTCTCTTCCCCACCTCCGCCTCCCCTTTCCCTCCCCCTCCCCCAATCCACTCCCCCTCCCTCGTCAGCCCAAAGAGCAATCAGGGCTCTCCGTCCCGTGGGAAGTCCAAGGAAAACCCTCCTCCGTCCAGGTCTCGTAAGGTGAGCATCCAAACATCCTAGGCTCCCACAAAGCCACTACATGCAGTAGGATCAAAAACCCATTGCCATTGTTCTTGATGTCTCAGTAGCCCTCATTGTCCGCTATGTTCAGTGAGACCGGTTTTAACCCAGGCTTTTTCAGACCCAGGTCAGCTGGCCTTGGTGAGTTCCCGATAGAGCATCTCCATTGTCTCAGTGTGTGGGTGCACCCCTCGCGGTCCTGAGTTCCTTGCTCATGTTCGCTCTCCTTCTGCTCCTGATTTGGACCTTGAGATTTCAGTCCAGTGCTCCAATGTGGGTCTCTGTCTCTGTCTCCTTTCATCGCCTGATGAAGGTTAATATTCAGGAGGATGCCTATATGTTTTTCTTTGGGTTCTCCTTCTTATTTAGCTTCTCTAAGAACCCGAATTATAGGCTCAATGTCCTTTATTTATGGCTAGAAACCAAATATGAGTGAGTACATCCCATGTTCCTCTTTTTGGGTCTGGCTTACCTCACTCAGGATAGTGTTTTCTATTTCCATCCATTTGCCTGCAAACTTCAAGAAGTCCTTGTTTTTTACTGCTGAGTAGTACTCTAATATGTATATATTCCATACTTTCTTCATCCATTCTTCAATTGAAGGGCATCTAGGTTGTTTCCAGGTTCTGGCTATTACAAACAATGCTGCTATGAACATAGTAGAGCATATATTTTTGTTGCATGATAAGGTCTCTCTTGGGTATATTCCCAAGAGTGGTATTGCTGGGTCCATGGGTAGGTTGATCCCAAATTTTCTGAGAAACCGCCACACTGCTTTCCAGAGTGGTTGTACAAGTTTGCATTCCCACCAGCAATGGATAAGTGTACCCCTTTCTCCACAACCTCTCCAGCATAGGCTATCATTGGTGTTTTTGATTTTAGCCATTCTGACAGGTGTAAGATGGTATTACCTCCTATTCTTATTCTCTTCTTATGAATATCTTTGTGCCAGTTTCTTGGCTTCTTGTGTGTTTTCATTCTCTCTTTGCAGAACATAAAGTTCATTGTCTTTTAAATTGTGGTACTTGCTTCTATATGTTTAGTGTATGCATCCCGTGTTGGTTGAAGGAATGTAGCACATGCTTTTATTTAACTGTGGATACAGAATTTTCTGTTGTGTTTTCAACCCCCTAGGTGGAAACAGCAGTCAGCCAAGCTGCACCGAGCAGCAGAAGCCCCTGCACGAGCCGTTTCCCACCGCTAGGATGAAGAAGAGCAGGAGCGTGATGGCGGTAACCGCAGATGACGTAAGTAGCGACAGCAACAGTGGCCCCGTTCCTGCTCCTGGCTCAGTAAATGAGCTACTCCACAATTCCACGCAAAGGCAGAGGAGGGTGTGTCATACTGCCGCTCTGTGACTTCGTGTTTGGATGATCTGAACCCAGCACTCTGTGAAATGGACAGCAGGAGTAATTCTCTTCTTGCCCCAAGTCTATGAGCTGATTCATCTTTGCACACTGTCCCATCATCCGCCAGGACCTTCCCAAGGGAGGGTCATTAGCATTAAGAAAGGTGTGTTTTGTACACACCCACTACACCTTGTGTTCATGAGTGTTCCTCAGACCAGTAGCACGAGCCTCACATCAGTGACTATCAAGAATGCAGAGTTTCAGGTCACACCTGCTAGGCATATCGTTTGAAAATGATCCCAGAAAGTCCATCATGGTTGAGAAGCCTGATTCTACATCGTTTGAAGTCTATGAACACACAGTCTCCACAGCTTTGGCTCTGGTCAGCTGATACTATTTGCCTCTGCTTTCAACTGACCACTCCTTCACTGGTCTTTCATTGCACAATCCTTACCCAATTACTTTTTAAAATTGATATCAAATTATATATCGCCAATCAGATGTGCAAAGGGAAAGTACAGAGGAAAGGAGAAAAATAAGTGACATCCTTTACTTCCTGTAAAAAGCCAGAGGAACAGGGAGTTTGCCGTGGTACTGTGACTCAGTTTACCGTTGAGTTCCTATTTCATGGATGGAAGGAAAGCCCATACAAGGTTTTATTTCTAACTGGTGTAAACATCATATCTCCAGGGATTGCCCAGTCTTTCAGATGTCTCTCCATTCTTACTCTTCTTTTAACCACAAGGAATGTGACAGGACAGGGAACCTGATTCAGCTCTGTTATACCAGAAAGGGACGACAGTGTAGTGTGGCCTGGTCCTTTGCTGTCCTTTTCACAAGCCCCTCCTGTGGGGGACTGCGCCTCATCTTGGGGCTTTGGCTCCCAGTCACATACAAATTCACTGTTTCCATCTCATTTCTTACACTGGTGATGGATGGTTGTGTTTAGATGGCCATGCTCTGCTTAGAATGTCTACCGGGAAACTTCTGGAATGGAAAAATCTTTTTTTTTTTTTTTTTTTAAGGAGAAGTTTGACGTTGGCCCTTAATATAATTTATGTACTCTTCTGGTTTACTTTAGCATTTTGATTTGTTTTAAAGGTTAAAATGGAGCAGTGCTCATTACTGATAGACAAATCATTTGTAACAGTTATTTTCCATATTTCAGTTGCAGAATGCCCAAAGCAACTTTAGGATGGAAAGATTTATTTCTGCTCATGATCATGGTGGGCAAGAATGGCACGGTGGTGGGAGTCTGAAGGAGCTGGTCACACTGTATCCATAGTCAGGAAGCGGAGATGGAAGCTGGTGATTAGTTAGCTCCTCCCCGCCTCGCTTTTTCGAAGTCCAGGACTGCAACCCACAGAGTGATTCTTCCTACTTTTAGCGTGGGTCTTCCTTACAGACATACCCAGAGGCTTGTTTGCTGAGTTATTCTTGACACCGTCAAGTTAATAATTATTAACCATTGCAACATTTTTTCCCTTTCTCATTGTATTTTTAGAGAAATAATCTTGATTATCCCTATGGGGATAAGGGATGGTACCACCTGAAAGAGGAGGAACCCCACTTGCAGAAATATATAGAAAAGAAGCAATGAGTCATGTATTATCAACCCCACCAAAGCCACTGTGGGTAAATAGTACATAGGTTTTCTGTGTCCAGAGTGGTAGCCTTTAACCACCAGCCTGGATGGAGTGAGCTGTAAACAAGCTAGATGTCAGATTGTGAATCTATCTACATATAAATATTAAGAATAAAAAATATTTTTATATAAAATACATATTAAAATGGTAGCACTGTAGATATATTAAACTGTTTGTCAAAGACAAGTTTTATTTCCTTTGATTCTTTAAAGATGACGCCCAGGAAATTTTAAAGGACACATTTGAATTCCAAGCTGACCTCCCTTCTGGAAGACAGTGCCAGCCGAGCGAGCGAGCGAGCATTTCCCTCTTCCACCCAGGCTCTCTCAGCCACAGCACACATCACCTGTGCTTCCCAGTCTCTCCTGACTCGCTGGAACAATGGAAACTTAGGTTTTATGTACCATGCTCTTCAATTAAGCTTTTACCCTTACATCAGATGCAGTTTGTTGTATTTTAATTTATTTTAACTCATCAGCTTTTAATTAAACTGTCATTAAATAGTCATTCAATACCACCTAAACACTATATATACACATTGTGTGTCAAATATGGATCTAGGTTCTACAAGGAGATTCAGCAATAAATAGTATAAGCTCTTGTTCACGTTGGCCTTACTTTCCAGAGGGAAGGTGGAAATAAGTTAATCAATTACAGAACCATCCCAGCTGTGGTAAAGGCGATAGAGAAGTCAGTTTAGGGAGCAGAGAATGACTGTGTGTGAGAGCATTTACAAGACGGCTGTGCAAGAAGACGTGTAAGCAGTGAGGATATTGGGGGAGAATTTCTGGTAAGGGGAGAACAGTAAGTGAAAAGATCTTATTTCAGGCAAGACACTCTGCTTGGGGCTATGGGAATACAAGGATGGATAACTACGGTTCTGTCTTTATACACTCAAAATGCACCAGACCTTCAACAGGTGACTAAAACTTGTGCGGGCATTCACGACTTTGTATTTGAAGATTGACTTATAGAGGTGAGATGCAATCATGTGCGACCTGAGAACTGAGCATTGTAATTAATAGTGGCTAAAGAGATTAAAGGGTAGGAGGGAGTTTCAGGTAACAGGAGGAGGGAAGACAGATAGGACTGAAGACTTAGAAGAACCTGTAACTATGTGTATATTAAAAAAGATGGAGAGATAATAACTTCATATATATATATAAATTATGTAAGAATACAGTTCAATATGCATGTGTGTATCTATATACTGTGCACCCCCACACACCTACATGTGTATTAGAACCAAAAGTCAAGCATCCACACTGACGCCCCAGTTACAGTTTCGTGTTCCTAATCATGGATACCAAGACATTTCAAAGAAAAGAAAACAACGAATAAGGGTGGCTGAGGTCTCCTGCAGACAGACTGTTCTTGTAATTGGTGATGACTGCTTATGATAAACCATATTTCTCAGAGGCACACTCTTTGTAACTGTCTCAAGGAACACCATGACATTTAGCTTTGATGGGAGCGCTGAATGTCACTTGGTGCTTTTCATAACCTCCATCTCTGATGTCACAAGGCTTGAAAACCTGACCGGTGATAGAGACAGAATCTGAATGGAAGCACAGCGTGTGTTCTGGGAAGACCTTGCCCCTCCTCTAGCCACGAGGGCCACTGGAGAGCTGAAAAGGTCAGCAACACTCCAAACCTGATGGAGCAGATGGCAGACCAAACACACGGCAACTGTGAGGCGTGCATGGCTGAGGAAGCACTGTGCACACCCCGGGTGTGTCGGGAGTCGAAGACACTCAGTCAGCCCCTTGCACTCTGCCCTGAAGACTCTGCCAGTTTAGGTGCCTCCGGCTTGCCCTTTGTGGTAACTTTTGTAATTACGCTGGCAAGACTAATGACTTTTAAACATTTATTCAGAAATATGAGGAGAATCCAAAAGCAGTTATTTCTTCAAGCATTATTCCGACATAAAGTGACCTTAGGGATATGTGAATTTTGAAAAGAAATATAACGTTGTAATTACTAGAGATACCATTCAAATTATTATTCCTTCCTGCAAAGATAGTTGATTTATGAGTAGTATTGGAACTTGTCAGAATTATGATGGCTAAAAATAGTAAATTCAGGTACAAATCACAAGCCCATCAGTTGAAATAACTGAGTTCAATTTTGAGGATGGTAATAACTTAGATAGAGGAGCAATCTATAAAGTATGGTATATATACAGACTTTGGGGTAATTATAAACAGCTCTGCATGTAGTGTTCTGATTGTTCTGAAAAGAATACTGCTTTCAGCATTGAGTTTAGTTTCTAAAAAGCCGTTTCGTCACGTTCATTTGTGGTGATGTCTTTTCATACTCACCAAGGGCTTCGGAAGCAGATTCTTTTAACTCAAAGCCTGACTCAAAGAATGCAAATTTAACTTGTTGGTGCGTTATTGTGTGTCCTCATTTGCTTTTTATTGCTGTGATGAAGAGCGTGACCACCAGCAAGTTGTGGAGGCTCACATTTCCTGACCATAGTCCACCGTGAAGACTAGGACAGGAACCTGGAGGCAGGAGCCGAAGAAGTCATGAAGGAACATTGCTTACTGACTTGCTCTTGATGGCTTGATTAACTGCCCTTTTATACCGCCCAGGACCGCCTGCCAAGAGGTTGTACCACCCACAGTGGACCGGGCCCTCCCCCGCCAATCATTAAGCAAGAAAAGACTGGAGGCTCGTCTTGCTACGGCAGCATTTTTTTTTTTCCATTGAGGTTTTCTCTTCCCAAATGACCTTAGCTTGTGTCAAGTTGACCAAAAAGCTAACCATCACTGCTGAGCCCTTGTCAACTTGACACACATATACACCACTATTAAACCATAACCTTTCTTTGTCTTCCCAAGATCTCATGTTAATGTCAATATCAAAATGTAGACGACATTCCTAATTTTAAAAGTTCCATGGCCTTTAAAAAGTTCAGTCTCTTTAAAGAAATCCAAGGTCTCTCTAAATGTCCAAAGTCTGTCAGCTGTGGGCGCCTATAAAATAAAATTTGAAAAGTTTTATACTTCCTATTTCAAGAAGGGAAAACCAGAGCACTGCTGCAAGTCAATCAAAGCAAAGCCGGGGCCCAGAGTCATAAATCAAGTCCTATAACTCAGTGTCTGGCATCTGGTATTTTACTCAAGATCTGGGCTCCCAAGAAATCTGGCACCGCCCCTTCCCCAGCTCTGCCATCCACAGTGCATACAGCTGTTCTCACAGGCTCAGGCTGTCTCCATTCCATACCTGCTGTTATACTTGGTGGTCATACCACAGCTGAGGCACCTCAACTATCCTGGGATCTCGGCTGCAACAGAGGGGGCACCTCACTGGGCCTCTCCTGCCCTCTCATAGCGCCAAGCCTCAGCTACTCTCCAGGACTCCTTCAATCCTGAAGCTCCCACGCCACCAAAACCAGTAAGTTGTGGAGAATCCTACACATTACCAAGTTCAACTGCCAGCACGAGATGCAGTCTTGGCTCTCTTGCCACAGTCTGGCTGCCGACCCTAAAGAAATACTGCCCAGGAGATTTCAACTCAGTGATGCTGGTCTCTTCCTAATCACAGCTGACTGTTCACCTCGAGCAAACTAGCATCAATTGTCCCAGGAAAGCAAAGGTTTCATTCTCATGGCTTATGTCTCTGATGCTTCTTCAACCATAAACCTCAGATGTTTAATACAAAATATCACGAGAATAGCCCCGGGGGAGTGGCTGAGGGACCCTCAAACTTCCCTCTGAAGCTTTGCAAACCAGGCCTTCGCCGTCTCCATTGCTTTCAGCAGTCTTCCCTGCCAAGCCCCCACAAAGCCAGCCTATTAAGCTTTAAGAACATTAAGAACTAAAGACTTTTCTAGCCTAAAGTTCCGAACTTCTACAATCCTCCCCAAACTACATGTTCTGGTCTGATCTGGTCTGGCCTAGCAATACCTCATGATCCTGGGACAAATTTCTATCCTAGCTTGCATTTAATTGCCGTAATAAAGAGCATAATCAAAAGCAACTCGGGGGAAAAAGGGGCTTTTCTAGCTTCCGTGTCCTGCTCACAGTCTGCTGTGAAGGGAAGTCAGGGCAGGAAATCAAGGTGGGAAACCTGGAGCTGGGAACTGCAGCAGAGACTGTGGGGACAGGCTGCTCCCTGGCTGGCTCCCGTGGTCCGTTCAACTTTCTTTCTTATACAACCGAGGACCACCAGCCCTGAGATGTCACTGCCCACAGTGGATTGGGGCATCAGTCACTAATTAGGAAAATGCTCTACAGACTTGCCCACAAGTCAGTCTGACAGAGGTTCCCTCTTCCCAGAAGACCCAGCCAGTGCTGAGTTGACAAAAACTCACCAGCACAGTGTGGAAGGTGTTTGCTGTGTGAGGTATGACTTTGCTGTCCATCCCCAGGGAAGGCATCAAGAATTCATTTAATCCGTTTACTGCCGGCACACCTGGTTGGTAGTGTTTACTTTTCCTAAAAGAGAAGAATACTCTACACTTAATCAGAAAGTCCTGGTGTCTGGCAATGTAACTAAATGGTGTCTTCATTTCTTTACTTTGGACCAGTGTTTCTCACATATACTTGACGCCTTGCCTTCTAGAAGACTGTGATTTTCTTGGCATACATATTTGTTGCTGGACTTATGATTTCCGGCCTTCAATTTGTTCTTATATATTCACCTTTAATCTTCACTAGGATTTTGTCTATTCTGTCTCTTTAAAGTATTTTAAGAAATATATATGCCAAGTTTTCTCTCTGTTTCTAATTTCTTTTTCTCTCTTACACACACCCTCCCCGGGATGTAGAAATTACTAGAGCTACAATGTACGCAGCCAATTATTAAGCATTAAGCCTCCTGATACATTCTAGGGCATTTCACACTCTGGAAGATTCTAGATTGGGTCAATTTCCTGTCACCAAGTAGCACTTATGCTAAATTTTAAATAAATGGTATTTCAAAATTATATGTCAAATATAAGAGAAAAGATAATATTCCATTTCTAGGTAAAAAGAGTGGAGCTCCTGAAAATTGCCACATCTTTTCTTGCCCCGATTTGCCATCCGAATATGGCTTTATCTGCTGGATCTGATGCCATAGGCCTGAAACCTCAAACACGTAGGGGACTGGGGTAGGATGGACACGTTCAAGGCCAGCCAGGGCTGTGACCTGAGTTCAAGAGCAGCCTTATCTAAAATAGAAAGTAGTAAGCGATTGAGGAGGCTGGAGATACTGCGCATGGTTAAGAGTGCTTGCTCCTCTTTCAGAAAGGACTCGTGTTTGGTTCTCGGCACACATATCAGGCTTCTCCCAGTCACCTCTAACTTCAGCTCCAGGGGATCCAATGTCCTCATCTGACCTCTTCCGGCACTCCTCAACAAACACATACGCATCAATAAAGATATATATTTTAAAAGGAGATATTGGGGAGATGGCATAGTGGTAGAGCACTTGCCTAGCATATCTGAGACCACATGGTAACTTTCGGGACCAAGAGAATAATCAAGAACAGGGTCTTGTACAGACATGTAAATGTTAACCAACAGGGCAGACAGAGTATGGGAAGTGAGATACCATGCCTTTCTACTAAGGAAACCTTCTTAAGTAGTGCCGTGCGAGACTGGGATAATATGTATCACATATTTGTTGAAACCTCAGGTTCAGTGTGAGCAGTGTTGTCAGCTGAGCAGCCTTGGCCTGGTGACAGGCTCTTGGTTGATCTGAGTGGCCAGTGCAAGGTGGCAACACAGTCAGTCTCTGGACGGAAGAGAACCATGCGCCAGGCAGATCCTCATTGGGGATTTCCATTCCCAGCAGTACCAGGAACCATAGTCACGTAGAGGAATGGCAGGGGTGAGAGACTCTTCCTCGCTACCATGATGCTTTGTTCTGTCACCTGTACACCCTTCATGCCAGCATTTGGCATGGACTTGAATAGGGCTCTTGAGGGTTGGATGTTGCGTATCTTCTATCCGAACTCTTGTCTAATTCAGTAGTAACAAAACAGTAACATTGCCAGCCATGAGGTTTGTATGTAGGAACAGGGACAGCCAGCAGACTCTAATTACCAACACTCTGATAGCCTAACATTTTTTCTTTAAAACACTGAGTAAGTAATTTCATATTTATTTGTAGTTTATTAGCATATACCAGAAGGGTAAACTAATTTCTAAATTCTATTATTAATTTATCAAATTTTGTTTTAAGAAAAAGAGAGTGAGAGAAATAAGAAAGAAATCTTCCAATCCATTCGCTACTCCTGGTAAATGTTACGTTTGAATCTAAAGATCTCTAAGAACATACAACTGATAAGTTTGTCCGAAAAGATAGAAACCAGCCACTCCCCACCCCCACCCATCTTGCTTCTCTCTTAGACTCCTGAGGGTCAATTGCAGACTCTGGTTGTGAGATAATAACAATAATAATAAAACAATAATAATAATAATCACGGCTTCCTCAGTGACAGCTGGATCATGTAGGCTCATTTAACTCTGTCCTGTAGACATTTGAGTTTCACCCCCTTTCTTGTTTTCTTTCTCTTGTTTCTTCCAGAACGGTAAGGACTATTTTGAGTGTAGCTTGAGTAAATCCTACAGCTCTTCCAGCTACACCCTTGGAATTGACCTCTGGAGAGGCCGAAGGTGCTGCTCGGGAAACTTACAGCTGCCACCTTTGTCGCAGAGACAGAGCGAGAGGGCAAGGACCCCTGAGGCGGATGGCATTTGCAGGCCAACCACTCTACCGTTGACGACGCTGCCCAGCATCGCTATAACAACAGTGAGCCAGGAGTGGTGAGTAGCCTCAAAGGCCAATGGCAATTCTAAATCTTATTTTCCAATTATTTCAAATACAATTGTGTTGTTAAAACAGCAGTCAGTGTCTATGGAAACACAAGACTGTTGACTTCTTGCGCTGCAGGGTAAAAAAAAACTCTTAAAGGATGGCAAGAGTATTCGCTTCTTAAGATGGGAAGGAGCAGGCTTTACATAGAGCCCATTGAGGAGAGAATGGGATGCATTTGCAATACTGTCGAGCATACAGCAAAGTGAACAGCCTAATTTATTTCACTAAAATTCTGTTCAGTGTGTATTGATACTTTTTCATTCAGAAGAGAAGACTGTATCCTTGAATGCTATTATTGGAGAGTTCTTAAATGTTTCTGTTGCCTTTAGCTTTTAAATTTATAATCCCACTTTACAAATCTCTGGATTTATTTTTATATAAAACACCCCATTGTAAGTCAAAGTAGGAATGAGAGCTGTATTGTGAGAGCTGGGGTGACGTCTCAGTGGGTAAAGTGCTTGCCTCTCAAGTTTGGTGACTTGAGTTGGAGCCCCAGGATATACATAAAAAATGCTGAGTGTGGTGATATGCTCTTATAATCCAGCCCTGAGCCTGACAGAGAAAGAAGGGTACTTGGAGTTACTTGGACAGGCAGCCTAGCCTACTTGGTGAGCTACAGACCAATGAGAAACTCTTTCCTCAGAGGAGTTGAAAAATGTCCCCAGGATGACATTAGACATTGTCTAATGTGCCTTCATGGGCACTCCATATGTGTGTACCTGCATAAACACAACCCTCCCCCCCCCACACCTTTGGGATTACACCCTTGCTGGGCGAAGTGGGTGACTCGGCTTGGGCCTTGATGTTTTGCAGACCAAAGCCTCTTCTTATGCATTAGGTGCTTCCTAACTGCAGACAATGCACCGTGACAAGGCGTCCCAGGATTCTGCTGCCACACCTTCCCAGTCCTGTGATGAACTGCAGGTTTTCTTTCACTGTAAAAGAACACACCCTTCCTCCCTTACATGATTTCTTTTTAAATATCTTGTCACAATAATGGAACAAACAACTAGTAGAGAAAATCGGTATCAAGAATTTGGGTTGTTGCTGTGGCAACCCTGACCACTTGATTCTTGGGCCTTTGAAACAGGTTTGCAGAATGAATGTGGAAGAACTTTGAACTACGGGCTAGTGAAGCCCTAGAACACTGTAAGCAGAACTTAATGGGTCATTCTGATAGGAATTCAGGGGACCTAGAAAGTTGCAGACAGTGAAGGTCCATCTCATGAGGTTTCAGAGGGAAACTGGCCATACAGGGAAATGGGAAGTGGGTGGATGGTAAGGTTATTAAATCCTATTAAATTCTGGCAAAGAATCTGGCTGTGCTCTGAGAACGTGAGTGAGGCTAAACTCAAAAATAATGGACTTTATATAGAGCTGAGGCACCATGGGCTTTTCTCTGTCTACTTTGGTATGTCCACTGGTTGTGTCCTTGGTCAGCTCACTTTTGAGCAGTCATGTTGGTGAGACGATATAGGTGTTGATTCTCACAAAGAAGACACCCAGGGAAAGCTTGGAGCAGGAGACATGCTCTTCCCAGGGAAGATCACACCAGTTTGTTGTCAAATACCCGATAGTCAGTCCTGAAGACAGACATGCAGCAATATATATCTATACACACAAACATATATGCATGCAGTAACAATTAGTGAAAGAAGAGGCCACAAGTTTGAAGGAGAGTGGGGAAGGGTATACTGCAAGGTTTGGAGAGGGGAAAGGAAGTGGAGAAATGTTATAATTATACTATAAACTCAGAAATAAAAGCTAAGTAAGGGAAAATAATGGCCTAATAAGTTCGATGTAGGACTGATGACCTTTCAAGATAGGGTCATATTCAGGTTGTGTCAAAGTTACTGTTGATGGCTCTTCTGGTCTACAGATAATGAAAGCAGCAAATGGAGCACAGAGATGGTTAAATGTGTGGGATTGGGGTGTATGATGTGAAATTCCCAAATCATCAAAAAAAAATACGTTAAAAAAATAAAGTTTACTGGGTAAGGAAGTCAGCCTAGGACCATGTGTGAGAAACAATTGTACTTACCTCTCAGAGTGCTGAGAATATGGTATCAATCCCATGTCTAAACCAACTGTCAGCTAGTATTGGTTGTAAAGTGCCAGGTAGTAAATATTTTCAGTGTTGTGAGCTTCAAGGTCTGTCACAACTATTCAGCACTGCCGCTGTGTTGTCAAAGTAGCCGTAGACAACAGAGTGTAAACAAGCAAGTGTCACTGTGTTCCAATAAAGCTGTGTTTGCAGAAATAGGCAGTGGTATAGATCAGCTTACCCAGGCAGTTTTCTGATGCCTGTTCTGAACTAAGGGTCTTGATATGACTCCCAATGCTATAATTGCTTCAACAATAATCCAAGGACAAAAAACGACCCTGAGTTTCCTACCAGCTTGCTAGATTAGTCATAAATATAGACCTATGTGTTTATAGAAGGTCAGTGTCAGAGAAATAATATAAAGATAAATATGAAAAATGAACTCAGATATATAACCCCTTTGGTCAGGGGAGCTGGCCCAAGGTCTGGAATACAAAGAGGTTTTATTTGTCATGGAGGAAGACAGAGTAAGAAATTTCCTTCTGTGGTTTTGTTGGGAAAAATTCTTTACAGGCTCTGTGATTGGACACTTGGTCCCCAGTTGGTGATGCCATTTGAGAAGGCTGTGGAATCTTGAGGAGGGAAACTTTGCTGAAGGAGGTACGTCACTGGGGCAGGAGTTGAGGGTAGCCGTGCCCCGTTTTCTGCTCTCCCTCTCTGCTCCTTGTGCCTCTCATTAGAAAACAAACAGGCTTCTAAGGGATAATAATAAAATAAGATATAACAAAAACTAACACATTGGAATAGGATAAAATAAGCAGACAGAAAAGAGTCAAAGAAAGCACAAGGAACAGAGACCCTTTCTTTTGCACACTCAGGAATTCCGTAAAAACACTAAACTTGAAGCTTATGTATGTGTGTGTGTGCATGTGCGCACACAAAAGACCCATAGGGTAAAAAAAGAAAAAGTTCTAAATAAAATAAAATTTAATCCCAGCACTCGGGAGGCAGAGGCAGGTGGATCTCCGTGAGTGTGAGGCCAGCCTGGTTTACAAGAGCTAGTTCCAGGGACAGGATCCAAAGCCACAGAGAAACTCTCTTGGGGAAAAAAAAACAAAACAAAAAAAACAAAAAAAAAAAAACAAGCAAATAAATAAAATTTAAAATATTTTAAAAAAAGAAAAAAACCTTGCCATGACATTATGAGACAAGGAACCTCCAAAGAGACCACTGATTTCATTTTCTGTTGGCCATCTACTGCTGGGCATGCAGACTACTTTTAGGAGTAGTTTGTTGCTGGGTGGTAGTGCACGGCTTTAACTCCAGCACTTAGGAGGCAGAGGCAGGCAGATCTCTATAAGTTCGAGGCCAGCCTGGTCTATAAGAGCTAGTTCCAGATCAACTAGGGCTGTTACATAGAGAAACTGTCTCAAAAAACAGAGAGAGAGAGAGAGAGAGAGAGAGAGAGAGAGAGAGAGAGAGAGAGAGAGAGAGAGAGAGAGTTTTTTCTCCAGTGGGATTTCCTTAGAAAAAACTAAATTTTCGTTTGCAAGTGCTTATCAATTGGAGATTGCTTCTGGGTCAGGAATGTGGACATTTATCCACTTCTTTCAGCTCTAGTACCCTGACTGGTACAGACTCGTGCAGGCCCTGTGCTGCCACAGTCTTTGTGGAGTCATAGATGCATAGATCTTGTTGAGTTAGAAGCCCTTGTTTCCTAGGTGTCCTCCATGCCCCTCTGGCTCTTACATTCTTTCTGCCTCCTCTTCCTTGGGGTTCCCTGAACCCTGAGGAGAAGGATTTGATGGGCACATTCTATTTAGGGCTGCATGTTCCAAGGTCATTTTATACACAAGAGTATGGAGTCCCCAAATGAGTTTCTACAGCAAACAAAGGACACACACCAACAGAGAAGCAGTGCAAAGAGCAAGAGAAGATGACATGTGTAAGCTGCCCTGGCCATACAGGAACAAGGGGATCCAATCAGGACACGGAAAGCAGCCATGTTCTTTCAAACAGGGTAAGGGCAGGGAGTTGATCTGGAGTTGGCAATCTGAACACATTTACTGACTTCATACTCCACACTTTAGGCTCTCTGAGTCTAGTGGTCTTGATTGCAGACCATGTTTGCTTCTGGGCTGTGTGTGTGTTTTGCTTATGGGCTCTGGGGAGAATCACTTGGAAAAGCATTTTTGGAATTCTTGCTTTTTTCACTATTATATAACAGACATCAAACCTCAGGCTTAATGCATTTCCCACAAGCACGAGCTTTGCCACAGATATCTAATCTCATCCCTTTACTCCTTCAATTTTTTTTTTAAAGTTAAATCCAAATATTTTCTTTGCTATTGTCAAGCTTCTCCGGCTAGTCTTGGATTCACTCTGAAGCCCAGGCAGGCCTTGCGCACAATCTTCTTTTATCAGCCTCCCCAAGAAGCTATTATTTCAGGCCTGTGTACTGTTGGCTTCTTCCCCAGTGCCAGACATGAACACACGATATAAGAGCCCATTCCTATAGGTCCATTCATATCCAGAACTGTTCAGTCTACTACTCTGGTTTTGGTTATGCCATCAGTCATCAGTCATTAGGCTAAATATGCCAACTTCAGGACACCCCCCTTAACAGGGGTTTCAGGGCTACTTAGTGATACATTTACCATTCATTCTTTAGCCTGCACCCACACATCCAGCTGATTCATCTACAAACAAGTCTTGAGTTTTCCTCCTCCTCTGCCAACAGGAAGCAGAAAACAGTCCTTGAGTTAGCTAAAAGACGTGAAATGACGAGAAACAGCTGTGATAGTGACACAGGGCAAGGGGGTGGGGGCTGGATTTGTGCAATTTCCTGACGCCTCATGAGCTGCTGGACTTTGTCTCAGTCACATCATTTCCATGCTATGGTAA